TTCATGTTAACTGTCCTTTTGATCCTGTAGTAGTTCTGTTGTTTTATTCAAACCTCAGGTGTGTTGAAGCAGCAGATGAGGTTTAAAGTGAGGATGTTAGATGGTGTCAGTGACTTAGGTTAGTTTTAAACCCCCCACCCCCTTCCACCTCCTCCGTTAACCTTCTTCTCTCTGCACGCATGCTGCTGCAGCTGCTCACCGATCAAAGCCGTCTGTGCGGCCTCCTCTCCAAGGCCTTCGGCAGGCGAAACAGCGAGTTGGTTCGCAGGTTGTCCAAGGTTGGCGCAGCACTCCCCCCCTCCCTTTCTTTACATCACTGAAATTCAAAGATTTCACAGTCAGAGTGAACCTCTCTGCTGACCGAGAGTTCAGGCTCCAAAGCTGCCGAATAAAACCGCAAATACTCTAAAACTCTTAAGAGCTAAATCTATTTATGTAAGAAGACCTTGATTGAATACGAGGGAGTGAGTATAACTTGAGGCCACGGTCAGGGGGTTGAGTCAGGAAAAAACTAAAAAGTTGATCCTGGAAAACATTTTTGATAGGCTGTTTTGTAGCCCAGAAGCGTCTGCAGGTAAAGCCTGAGAGGAACAACACAGGACAGAAAAATCTCAAAATGCTCCAGAGAAAGAGGAAGGTCGGCACAGTGTTCAGCTCCCAATGAGCTACTTTATTTCAAACAGGGCTACCATTCTTCAGGTCAGTGTGGCTCATTGGAGCTGAACAGTGTGCTGACCTTTCTCTTTTTTTTTTTCTGCAGAGGAAACTTTAGTTTTGTCCTGCCCTGTATGCATTTTGATTGGATGTGCACACACTAGTTGTCTCTTTTTCAAGTGATCCAGAGAGACTACAAAGAAATTTGAAATAAAAAATTAAAGAACAGTTTTTAAAAAATCCCAAATGTTGTGAGGCACCTTTACAGGATTAACTTCATGATGTCGGCACCAGGTGATGTGGTTTTACTGGGACCTTTGGACCCTGTGAGACTCTGTCAGATTCCCAGTCCGTGATGTGAACCCAGTAAAAAAAAACCTCCCAGTGCACCCAGCTGTGTCCCTTAACACCATTAAGGAACCTTGTGCTCCTGTGTGACCTGCTTACCTGTGTGTGGTGGTACCAGCTGGATTATTGTAGCTACAGCTGATGATGAGTTAGTGATGTAGATCAGAGGTTCCCGGTTGGATCGGGGGGAGCTTCTGATGTACCTCAGGTTCTAGGCTGGATGTGTAGTCTCCTTCTAAAATAATGAGTGTTTTGTAGTTTTTAGTAGAGATTAATAAGAACATGGCACATCAGAACATCAGTGAAGTTTTAGGTTTAGTAAAAATACACAAGATACAAACTTCTCTTAATGTTCTGATGTTTTATCTCTCAGATTAAATTCATGTTTTATCAGGAGTTTCTCATTTACTGCTGCTTAGCTCGGGTAGTTTCTTTATGTGAATCAGTTCAACACTCCAAAATCACAAAAGAAGCATGGACAGGGAGGATGTCAGTAGCCTAGTGGATAGTGCGCAAGGCCCATTTACGGAGGCTGTAGTCCTCTAAGCGGGCGGCCCAGGTTCAAATCCGACCTGTGGCTCCTTTCCTGCATTTCATTCCCCGCTCTCTCTCTCTCCCTGATTCCTGTCTCTAGGATAAAGGCATAAAAAGCTGAAATAAATCTTTAAAATAAATTGATAATAATAACAATGGACGAGCGATCTGATCTTGACCAGCAGCTCCTTTACTGCAGGGTAGACTTCCTGTTTTTGACTCTGGTGGCTTTGAAGATAGCAACGAAAAGGCGGATTTATGGTTAAAAAAAATGTAAAAAGTATATTGCTGCTCACACTAAGAATAACAATCTGAGCCTGTGAGCAGCAAAAACAAGAACTTTATAAAAATGGGAAATTTCTGTTTTTCAAGCTCTACAAAACATTCTGTAACTTTTTATTAAATAAGACAACAACAATGTAAAAATATCTCCTGTTGGGGCGCTGATAGCCTAGTGGTTATTTCATGTGCCTCATGAACAGAGGCTGTAGTCTTCATCACAGGGGTGGCAGGTTGGAATACGACCTCTCTTTGCTGCCTGTCATCCCCCCACTCTCTCTCCTCCCAACATTTCCTATCTCTCTTCAGCTTTCCTATCCACTAAAGGCAAAAAGTCCCCCAAAAATGACTTTAAAAAGCATCCTGTTAGTGTGTTATTACAGTGGATCTGATCAGTAAACTCTAGACTCTAACATCTGAAGTGTAGATCTGGATCTCTAGTTCAGGTCGCAGCCAGTCTCTGTTCGAGTTCTTCCTCTCTGATCGTGTCTTTCTGCTCCCCTTCAGATCCTGGTCTATGAGGGAGAGATGGAGCGAGCTCAGGGTCAGCTGGAGGCCGAGATGCAGAACCTGGAGGAGGAGAAGAACCGCGTGATCGAGGAGGCGTTCATCAGAGCCGAGAGCGAGATGAAGGCGGTCCACGAGAACCTGGCAGGTCAGACGCTTGTTTGCTTTCTGGTGACTTCTGTCAGAGTGTGTTTGACTCCGCTGAATGTTTGTGTTTGTTGTTTTTGTTGTTCCAGGAGTGCGGATGAACCTGCTGAGCCTGCAGCCGGCCCTCAGGACTCTCACCTCCGACTACAACTGTCTGAAGAGGCAGGTGCAGGACTTCCCCTTCATGCTGGACAAAGCGATCACAGAGGCCAAGCGAGAGGTGAGTGAGCGTGCTCAGAAGACTTGGATGAATAAATGAGTCCCTGAGCTGAAGTACATGTCCCAAGAAAAAACAGATCCAATGTGTGACTCCTTTTCCCAGAAGTCACCTTCTGCAGAGTCTCAGTCCAAACTCAAAAATACAAACAAACAAACAGTTATCTTCTGACAAAAACAAACAACCTGTCTCTAAAAGAAATGCTTCTTGATAGCTTGCTGAGTTGATAGTTATTTTATTGTGTCTGAGGCATAGAGGTGAGTTTGAAGGACAAGTTTAAAAGCAGGCAGTGTGGAGGACAGACCGACGTGTGGATGCAGACTGTCCAGATCTCTGCTGCTGCTGAAACAACTCAGTCAACGCTGAGCTTTAAACCTCGACCTTGTGACGGTCAGAAGCAAATGATCGGTGAAAATGAACGTCTGTGATGACAGATTGAGATTTAAAATGTCAGAGAGATAAGAAGGAGCCGGCATGTCTAAAGATTGATATCACTTATATAATCCTAAACTGCACAGGGAGCCGCTGAAGCTAAAACAAGATGTGCTCATGTTTGACAGTTAAAAGACGAGCTGCAACGTTCTGGATGTTGATTTAAAGCATTCCTGAAGATATGACATGCCGGTAGATGTCGATTTAGTGTTCATGACTCTTAGATATTATTAACCTGTCTGAGGATCTAATCCCATTAATGACATGCCCTGATACCAATGTTGTGTATGCACCATCTAAAAAATGCTGCATAAAAACAAACATGACTTCTTTTATATGAAACAGTTTTCTTATTTGACCTAGAGGACGTGTACATTTAAAAAAAACTGAATTAATTGTCTGCATCACTGTGAGTTTAAATTTCACTGTGGAAAACTATGTGAATATGCTTTATTTAGTTTGAACTTAATTTTAGGTCTTTATTAAGATGAATCATAGATCATATTCTGTTGTGTGTGTGTGTGTGTGTGTGTGTGTGTGTGTGTGTGTGTGTGTGTCAGATCTGTCAGGTGATCAGTGAGGTGAGCAGCACTAACCAGGAGCTTCTGCGGAAATACAAGCGAGAGATGAACCTGAGGAAGAAGTGTCACAACGAGCTGGTGCGACTCAAAGGTCTGAAACACATTCATGTCTTTTTATCTGATGTTTCCAAAACCAGTTCTCGTTTGTTCACACACTCTCTGTGGTGTTCTTAGCCAGGTTTGGATCATTCATTCCTTCGATCCACACACTTCAGTGTTAGTTTATTTTCCACTGTGAAGCGCTGCATGCTGTTTGCTTCTCCACGCCAGATAAACGGAGGTTGTGAAAGTCAAACGTAACGCTTGAAAACCATTAAAACCAGTTCTGTGTCCCTCAGGTAACATCCGTGTTTTCTGCCGTGTCCGGCCGGTCAGTCAGGAGGAGCAGGACTCCGCCGACTCCAAAACAATGCTGAGCTTTGACTCTGAAGACGACGCCATCCTCTACCTCTCCAACAAGGGCAAAACCATGACATTCGAGCTGGACAAAGTGTTCTCTCCTCAGGCCACTCAGGAAGAGGTGGGAACAGAAAACATGTGAAAGATAAAAACTGTGCAGACTGTGCAGCAATGTTTCAAATCCAGTTCTCCTCTTGTAGTTTTTCTTTATACCTGCATTACTTAATCACGCCCAGCTTGCTGTGTTTTTATTTAACTTAGAAAAGCTATGCATTGGTTTTACAGCTCACTGAATGTGTTCTTAATCGATGACGGCTTGTTCTGGCAGCCTGGAAAAGAAGGACAGAAGCAACACTTAGCTTCATTTTAAAAGTGAATTAATGAAACAAAAACTTAAAAAAACAGCAGCAGATGTGTGTCAGTGCACGTAATGTAACACAAACTTGCAGGAGATGATGTAAATTTGTCATGTAATCTGTGGTGAGAGAGTTTATTAAAAGTGATGAGTATAAGGCTGTCAGGATGTTGAATAATCGCATTGAACGAGAATGGAAAAGAAAATAGAAATTAAATGAAACTCAAAGTAGCGTTGTGTACGTATCATACCTTGATCATCCTCTCCTGATTTTACTTGAATCCTAATTTATTTTTAAGAGAGTTTTTCTTTCCCTTCTGCCCTACACTGAGTTGTTACATTTCCTCCAAGCTGGTGATTTTATTTAATTTGTTTTAGTTTTAGTTTGTTTTTTTTGCTTCCCTTACGAGGCAGGAATTATTTGTATGCACGCTCCGTATGAAAATATAATGTAATCACACGTAGCTTTGTTTGTTTTTGTTCCTGTCACCAGCTCATACTTGGAGTTTTAAATATCTTAAAGGGACTAAATATTCGTGTCCTCTGATTGGTCCTTCAGGTGTTTCAGGAGGTCCAGTCTCTAGTCACTTCCTGTATCGACGGCTTCAACGTCTGCATCTTCGCCTACGGACAGACCGGTTCGGGGAAAACGTACACCATGGAGGTGACAATAAAACAACTTTAACGTGTTTCCACAACGCTGCTCAGGTTTAGTGTCCATAGTCTCCCATCCCTCATTCAATATAACGATTATTCATATTTGTGTTTCCAGGGCGTGTTGGACGACCCCGGCATCAACCAGCGAGCGCTCCGCCTCCTCTTCTCTGAGGTGACGGAGAAAGCTCCAGACTGGGACTACAAGATCACCGTCAGCATGGTGGAGATCTACAACGAGACGCTGCGGTGAGACCGACACACACACACACACGATGATCCTGGTTGTCATGGTGATCAGAGGAGGAGTCCTCATGACTGCAGGGATGTTAGTCAGTTTAAACTCAGGGTTTGGATGAAAAGGTTAAAAATCTGAACTTTAGATAAAAGTGATTTAAATGAAGACAAGACAAAATCCATCTGTGGTTCGACCTTTTCACACCGGAGAGCTTCCATGAAAAGATTCATGAACTACTGTAGATCAACAAAATGAATTATTTATCATGTTCACTATAATCACAAAAAGTGATGGAGGGTGATTTTAACAACTTTGAAGTAAATGGGATCAGAATAAAAGACCACATTCCTTTATGATGGGCTGTGCATTGATTTTAATGTTAGCATAGCATGCTAATGTTTACACAAAACAACCTAAAATGGCGCGCTAAAAAGTTAGAGCTACATGTTAAATTCTGGCATGTAAAAAGGTTAAAAAGTGGGATGTCTTTGGTTCTGCAGCATCAATTTATCGTTTTTCTTAGTGGTTGCAGGAGTGTGATAATAAACCTGTGAGGAGATCATAAGCACTAATGATGGTTTGAAAATGTTTGCATGATATTGTAAGTAAAGGTGAGCCTCATAAATGTAACCTTGGCAGATGCAGTAAATGCAGAGTCCTGAAAGACCTTCATACAGAGGGTATGACATCATCAGGTCAAAATCCCCCGTGAGCTCCCTCCAGTGGTAAAGATAGAAGACGAGTTAAATTCTCTATTTTCATGAATGCCTTCCTCGTGTGTAGTGAAGATCACGTCCTGATGAGGACACTTAAGAAACATTGTGCCAGGTTTCCTGCAGTTTCTGAGAAGTTATATAAAGAGGATCATATTAAATGCCATCTGTTTATCTCCGCCGGTCCAGCTGTTGTGTAACAGAACATCTGTGCGCTGGAGGGACAGTTTTTGGCGAAAAGGTTCAGAATTCAGAGAACGTGTATCGGATTAAACACTCAGATTATCAGACAGATCAGGACAGTTTAAAGCAGTTTATTTTTATACAGAAAGTATTTTTTTAAATCAGCAAATGTGGAAAATTAATCTCACTGCTTCAGCTCCTGCTGAGTATCATCATTTATTGAGATGTCTACCATCACTGGGAACAGGTTACGCTAAAGTTAGCTTCACAGGATGTTTTAAAGTGCTGTTTCTGTCTTGAAACCGTGTAAATTTTACACGGTAAAATGTCAATGTTATACACTCTATGATATGTGCTAACACGCTAACGAACCAGGGCTAAAGCTGACAGAATCAAGGTTAAAGCGACCTGTATGTGGCTAAAATAAACAGAGCCAGGTTAAAACACTGACATACCTGCTGTCACACATTCCTATGCTGTAATATCACTGCTTGAGGGGAGGGGTTTAGTTAACTGTCGCTCTCTCTAGTTTGTGTTGTGAGGTGTTCTGTGAGCCCTGAGTCATAGTCTGCAGGTTGTAAACACATCTGTTGTTAATCAGGAACCTGCTGGGAGAGAATCCCACCGACAAGCTGGACATTAAGATGAACCCTGACGGCAGCGGACAGCTCTACGTCCCCGGACTGACCGAGTTCGTTGTGCAGAGCCCGGAGGACATCAATAAGGTGAGGATTTCCTGCTGCATTCATTCATTTACAGATAATAACTTCTTCCTGGCCTATAAACCCTGAAATATCAGAAAAGAAGCTCCTAGATGTTTGTCAATCTCCTGTTTTTCTTCAGATTTTGAGGGAATCAGCTGGAACAATAAGTGGATGAATTAATGGCTTGTGCTTCTTACATGTGACTATTTGCTGGCTTTGTTTTCCTTAAATGAGAAAACTGGAAATCTTTGAACCTTTGGTTAAAAAAGAAAATAATGATAATAAATAAAAATGATGGATTAATTACATTTCAGATGTCATGATGATGTAAATAATAGTTTGTTACAGCTCAACAGAAAGTATTTAAATAGTCCTCTACATTGACCTCTGATTTTGATCGTGTGTGTTTGTGTGTAACCTGCCCTCAGGTGTTTGAGTTGGGTCATATGAACAGAGCAACAGCGTGCACCAACCTAAACGAGCACAGCTCTCGCTCTCACGCTCTGCTCATCATCACCGTGTCTGGATTCAATGCTTCGACTGGAAACCGCACACAAGGTACCAACAACAAATGTATTTCGATGAATTGTGGTTCAGATATTCATGATCAACATTTGAATGTGCACACTACTTTGGTTCTTGACAAATGACCTGCAAAACTAATGAAGTTTTATCACAGTGCCATCACAGGCTACTCTAACCATGGTAAAATTATATCGGCTACACTATAGCAATTTATCACTGTTATTGTTATGCGTATACATGATAGTAGCTTTAAATTATGAATATTGGCCTTTGACATACAATATTGTATCATCTGAATAGAGGAGTATTTATCATACAACATTGTGTTGTCTGCATAGAGGAGTATTTATCATACAACATTGTGTTGTCTGCATAGAGGAGTATTTATCATACAACATTGTGTTGTCTGCATAGAGGAGTATTTCACATCAAACATTGTATTGTCTGCACAGAGGAGTATTTCACATACAACATTGTATCGTCTGCATAGAGGAGTATTTCACGTAAAACATTGTGTCATCTGCATAGAGGAATATTTTAAATACAACATTGTATCGTCTGCATAAAGGAGTATTTTACAAACAAGATTGTATCAATTGTGTGGCGGAATCATCAAAAATAAGATTGTATTATCTTCATTGAAGAGATATTTGCATAAAAGGATACATTTTAAGTCTATGCATGAGTGATAAAATATTTATATAGAGAATATAAATTGTCAATAAGTGTTTTTTTGCAGCTTGCATAAGTGTAGATTATAATTCTGTGTAGAGTATCAGGACCCAGCGCAGACACTTTTGGTACTTCCTCATTGCCAGAAATCAACTTCCTTTATTAAACATCAATGATGTGATGTCAAAATGAAACCACTGCTAATCACTGTCTTCAAAACTAAGATCTTGATATGAGTTCAATGCAAAAATTGTGTATTGTGTATTAGGTATTTTGACCTTGCCTGTATCAGAGGAGTCAGTACTGAGGTTTTTGGTCTCTTTTGGTTGCAGGTAAGTTGAACCTGGTGGACCTGGCAGGCTCAGAGAGGATCGCTAAATCAGGGGCGGAGGGCAGTCGCCTCAGAGAAGCCCAGTGCATCAACAAATCTCTGTCGGCTCTTGGTGATGTCATCAACGCGCTGCGGGGCAAACACTCCCATGTCCCGTTTAGAAACTCCCGCCTCACCTACCTGCTGCAAGACTCTCTGAACGGAGACAGCAAGACCCTCATGATGGTGCAGGTGAGACCAGATCAGACATTATTAATTACTCTGATTTTTTCAATGTTAGCTTAAACAAACAAACTTTAATGGACTTTTGATCAAACTTGAAATAATGTAAAATAATACTTGTGTTGTGTTCAGGTGTCTCCCCTTCCTAACAACATGAGCGAGTCGGTCTGCTCGCTCAAGTTTGCTCAGCGTGTTCGAAGCGTCGAGTTGAGTCTCTCCTCCTCGTTCTCTAGAAGACACGAGAACTCGTCCACCTCGTCCTCGCCAACACACGATAGCGTTGAGGTAGCACACACACACACACACACACACACACACACAGCACAGTCGCTGAAGCATGAGTCCGCTACATCATTAGTCTTTCATAAACTGTTTATTTTTTATTTTGATTAGAATATGAAATAGTGATATTACATTTATTGTTGTTCATTTTTTTTTTGACATTTTATATTACATTATAATGAAATGAACAAAAAAAAGTATACCATACACAAGTATCACGTCTAATTTAAACTATGTACAATAAAGCTTCATTTATTTATATTATTGTATTATATTCAAATAAAGTTTGAAATTGTACAGAAGCTCACATTCAACACTTACAACAGAAATGTAACGAGACTTTACCCTTTAGTGTCAATGATCTTTAAGACTTTTCAAAATGTGTCCTCTGCTCAGCTGGACTCCCCCCCGGTGACCCCCGTCCCCCTCCCTATCTCTCGCGCAAGCAGCGCGGGCTCCACCCTCTCCTCCGCCTCCAGAACTCCCAGTATATCCCGGAGGAGGTCCCAGTCCCAGCTCTCCACAGGTATATAGAGTATGATTTATTTTATCTGATGTGTTGTTTTATCATTATGCTAACACACCCTCAAAATGAACAAGAATATAGTTATGATGCTTTCAATTCACTAAACTAATTTATAACATAATCATGCACAACATATACAGATGTGATGCCTTCAGGGACCTCCAGTAAACTGCAGAGAGAAGCAGGTTGTAGTTTGATATTAGAGAGCAACATTTCTGATTTCCTTTTTTAATTAACTGTTACAAACAAACTCCATGTTTACCTCAGTGTGTGTGAGTGTTTGTGTTTGTGTTTGTGTGTGTAATACTGATCTTTTCCAGCAGCCTTAACTTCATCACTACAACAGAGACATCTCATTGACATCTTCCTCGAGTTAACGATCACTGTTTTGACTCAGAGTTTCTCTGCCTCCTCTTTTCTTCACTGGTTTTAGTCTTAAACTCCCGTTAACGCTCTGGGTTTGTAATATGACACACCTGCAGGACTACAGAGGTAGTTATGGTGTGTGGACTGTAGCTTGACTAGTTTCATTTTAGGTGATTACACGTGGAACAGCAACTTTTATCCGTTTCTGTTATCTCACCCACATAAGACGAAGAACACCAGAATATGTGTGACTACATTGGCCAAACAATTGTTTACATTTACTATTATTTAACTGTTTTATGTCTTACAAATATTACTGAACAGATCCCCTCAGAGAACGACACATTGCTTAAAGATTAAGACGTATTTCTTAAAAGTAATAGATCTTATATATCTTTAGAGCAGTGGTTCTCAACATGTCTAGCCTCAGGACCCCCACCAACTCCTCCATGAAAAATCTCGACCCTAATTTTAATTTCTGACATTTTTCAAGCAGTCAGATTCATTTAATGAAAGATGGTACCGTTTGGACCTCAGGCATTCAGAAACACGTGACAGAACAGGAAAACCTGTTGAAAAAGCACTTCTGGAATTTTTGACACCATTTTTTTTCCAGATACAACATTACAGCGTGTTCTGCTGCTGCTGGCTCAAGGGATTTTCTCAAAGAGATTTCAAGCACTGTTGAGCCATTCTTGTATTTTGACAGCAAATGTTTGTAAAATTAGGATGCAAAAATACCCAAATTCCACTGGAGACAAACCAACGGCATTTTGGGAAATATAGGAAACAAGTAGCTGACACTAAAGCAGACAAATTCAAGCTCCTGAAAATCACACGTGTGAACTATGAGAGTGAGGCAGGACTTTTTACAGACCTTCTTCTTCCTCTTCTGTCTCCTCACTCTGTGATCTCATTGGTTGGTTCACAGACAGACAGGTAGACAGAGCCAGCCCATTGGTTGGGGACGGTGGGCAGGTAGGTTGGGGGAGTATGCTGATTGGTGGATAGCTTGGCATGGAAGCGCTCAGCATGGCATGGTGCCCCCCCCTCCCCCCTCCCCACATCCATCTAACACACCCCTACCTCTAACCACAGAGCTCCACCTGGCTTCTGTCTGTGCGCCTGCTGGGCCGTGAGCAGGGCCCACGCAGCCCACAGGCCTCCTGTGTGCAGCGGATCCTGTTGTTTGTGTCGCCTGTTTGAATGCTGGAGTCTTAATCTCGTTGAATCTAAACTTCTGTGCAGATTTGAGTTCATGTCACAAGGAAACTAATTCATTGTCTTAAGATCACAGCCTTAAAGAAAACAGAGGGAGCTTTTTTTTAAAGTTTTAGAGTAACAGTTTAATCTGTGTGTCCTAAATCGAGAGAGACAGAGGACGTTGTTAATCAAAGAGAAACTCAGAGAATGGAAGCAGAGGGGATGCTAGCCGAGCTTAAATCTGTCTGAAGATGTTTCGAGCACTGTACCAGTTCAGATGCTGCGTTCAATGACCGCTGACAGCAGAGTGTTTATCAGCTGCATTTGAGCTTGAATGAAAAGGAGCATTTCCACATGATTTTGCAGAATTAAGGGTTTATAAAAATGTCTCAAGGCCTTTGTCTAAGCCTATATATATATATATATATATATTATATATATATATATATATATATATATATATATATATATATATATATATATATATATATATATATATATATATATATATATATAATTTTTTTTTTTTTTTTTTTTTTTTTTTTTTTTAATTACACTAGTCAGCTCTGATGTTCTTGTTATGCTCCTGTTCCTAAACCTGTTGAATACACAACAAACATTACAATTGAAAAGAGTTGGAGTTTGACATTTTTTGTCTTATTTTTGGCGTTAAGTGTAGCTAGGCTAGCAGTTTCCCTCTGCTTCCATTCTTTATGCTAAGCTATGCTAAACAAAGCCTGGAGCTCTGTATTGGACACACAGGTTTAAACTGTGCCGGTGCTTTAATGTAACTTCTTATTGAAACCACGAGTCTGTTCCTTGTGACTTCAGTGTGTGCGGGTGTTACGAGTGAGTTGGTGTCCTTTGGTGTCCCAGCCTCCCCCCCCCCCCCCCCCCTCCCCTCTCCCGCCTCTCTTGTTGCTGCTGCTCTGTGGCCTGGGCGACCTGCTGATGAGCTGAGGATTGTGGGATATATGGCTCCATGTCCACACTGATAAATCTGAAAACATCTGCTGGTCTTTGTTTGAATAGTTTTAACAGGACAAACTCGTTTTAACTGCTCGTCTAATGTCCAACACAGAGTGAGTTAAACTGCAGGTAACCATGACAACAGCGCTGACGCTTCAGATATGTAAACATAGAGGTGGCTGGAGGGGGGCGCTGCAGATCAACTAGTGATTATTATTATCATCAGTTCACTTCTGTAAGAGAATAGGTCTTCAACATCAAAATATGTCAGATACATCTTATAACAACCAAATGTAAGAATAAAAACTAATTCAACCCAATGAGGTTAAACTTAAAGTGTCTGTTTTAACTCGTCGAGGGGCAGCAAGAAAAAAGAATATCAACCTTACACTTAATTTTAAAGTGTTTTTATCTGTTTAAATAACATATGTTGTTTAATTTAGAGAGGAGGGTCATTCTACAGATCACAGAAAAAAAACTTGACAAATTGAAAACAGAAGTAATCCTAACCTGAATACAAGCCGAGCTCTTAAAAAGGAGCCCTTGTTTTTGATGTTGAACTCCTTCAGTCAGTGTTAATTTGCTTTACATGATCAGATAACTCCTAATAGTCTGTGAAAGGAAACAAGTGAGCCCTGCCTTCTTCATTCCTCTACGATGTTTTCAAGTCTCCACGAAGAGGAAAATACACTCTCCAGGTTTTATACCTGGTGTTAAATGTTAAATTTGATATGCCAAATATATTTAAATAAAGCATGGTCTGAGTATTTTACATCTAAGTAACTGTATTTCCTCTTCCTGTGAAGAGTTTCAAATGTCTGATGACTCGTCCTGCACTCAGGAGAGCTCACTCACCTTTCTACCAATCAAATTCATCCAAACGTTGTGTCCCGCCTCCTGTCTTGTGATTGGTTGAATCCCATATCAGTCAGAAATACATCACAACACGGCAGATACTCTCAGAGTTCATGTATCATCAGGACCAATCAGGAGCTTTTACAGACTTTAGTTCATGCATGCTGCAGGGTTAAGGCTCCGTGATGCTGATACATTTCACAGGTGAGGCAGGAGAGTAGCTTTGTTACAGGTGTTCTTTAAGACATGTTAAGAACTATGTTGAACTGAATATGTCATCAGGAAAGATAAAGTCAGAGGATCCCCAAAGTTTGATGCTGATCGGTCCCCCGCTGATAGAGTTTTCACATTTATGAGCAGCAGTGTGGACATGGTGTGACGGCTCACATGGCGGCTGACTGATGGGATGTTTTTTGTTTTTTCTTTCTTTCTGCAGGACGACTGAAGCTGACAGCCTGAGAGAGACGGAGACGCCCACAGGGTGCCTGCCAACACCCTGAGGCGTCTTCCTGCTGGGACATCAACGACTGCAATCTGCCCTCACTGGATTCATCCCGCTCCTCGACCTCCGACAGGAGCAGGATGAAGAAGAAGAAGCAAAGACTCATGGGAACTTAACAGGCGAATATCAGACTCTTATCTCTGCGGAGTGGCCAAACATTCTGATTTCTGAAGCTTTCTTTCTGAGGCCGATGACGGACTTTTAAAAGACTCGACCGCTGAAGCCCAAACGTTCACAAGCTCCTCCCACCTGGACAGAAATCCTCCTCGCAGAGTCTCTCTAACAGTATACACTTTCCAATCACAGTATTTCTTTTTATTGTTTCTTTGTAAAGTTGCACTTTAACCTTCTAGATTATTTTCTAACCCACAGCTCCAGATGTGGTCGATTCTAATATATGCATAAAATGGTTCTATATTTATGTTTGACATGCTTTAACTTTGTAGCACGTTTTATTTAGAGTTTACTCCTTTTTTTTTCTTTTTTTTTTTTGTCGAGGATGCACACCACCTGAACATTTCTTCTGACGTTTAATTGGATGATTTCTCGCTGAAATCTCGGTAGCTTCAGATTAAATTAATTCTATCCCCCCATGTTGTGTCATTTTCCAACCGAGGCTGTCTGTGTCCTCGCGGTCCCCCTTGAACCAATCAGGGTACGCCACTTGATACCAAGCTGTCCAATGAGACGCGAGCAATACGAGGAAACCTCCCGTGTACATGATTGTTGTTTTCCTCTCCTCTTCCTGTGGATTGTTTGTTTTTTCCGATGCTGATAGAGCGTCGTCTTTTCTTCAGAGACGCTCGTATCTTCTCCTCGGTGTTTCTCCTGCTGTCGTCCAGTCACCTCTGTGAAGAAAAAATAAACTGCTTTAAAAATACACCACAGGTGACCTCTGACCTCTGACAGAAGCGAAGACCTGTAGCTGATGACCTGGTGCTGAGTGTGACCTGAAGCAGGTGGAGCTGATAGTTAGCTGTAGTCGTAGTAACAGGAATGCTTAAAAGGCGATGAGCTGCTGTGTGTTGTTGACCTGATGATCAAATCGTCTGCTTGCTTCGTGTCGCTGTAGATTTCTACAGTTAGTTTTTTTTGTATTCCCTTTTTAATAAACAATCTGAAAGATAAAAACGTGTTACTGTGTGTCCATGTTTCACTCAGGAGAATCTAACATATTGGGAATTCCATCAACGTAGTTTAAGAAAGCCAGGATAACCTGAAAAAAGTCAGGCTGAAACTAACACCATCTCCCAATTAAAGGTGCATTCAAGTACTGTCAGACACATTGGGAAAACAACTTTGAGTTGTAAAATGCACATGAACGCCTGCTCAAGTCGGGACAACAACCCTGAAATAAAAAGATGGAGGCTGGGCATGAGATGGTGGAATTTATAAACTTTATAGCTATTTATATGTTTATTTCAATTTGCTTCTTAGACTTCCCCTCAGTTTAGATCATTAACTCCAAAAAGAGGATTTTTTATTAAGTGTATTTGGTTATTAAAAAACACTTCCATAAAGTATGTTAATTGTAGACAGTTTTTTTTCATTATAGTTCATTGTTTATATCATTGCAAGTTTGAATCAATATAAATATTTTGTATCATACTTAAAGGTTTGCATGCATTTAAAAAATGAAAACGTTTTTATCGAGAGACAATATATTTTGTGCTAGTTCAGATCATAGATATATCATAAATACTGTTTATAATAACATGATTTAGTCAAATATAGATTAGTAGTTTGTACCATTTATAACATCGTTATAGAAATCATTTTTAAGACTTTAAATGATCAGTGATCTCACTGTTCTGGGTCATTTAGACCTGGTGTTGATCTCGTTGAGTGACCTCCTGTGGACGAAGCGCTAAAACTCATCACTCTGCTGATCCTGTAGTTCATATGTAAAAAGTCCTCTGGAATTTAAAGAGTCAAACGTACCACTAACTGTTCAAATGTAAACAAAGGCACTTTAGGTCAGCACACCGTAATTTAACAGTTTTATATCCTGTTCAGAAGATGGTTTAACTAACTTAAAGGGGACATATTATAAAAATCCACTTTCAGTGTTTTTGAACATATATTTGGATAACCTGAGTGTCTACTGACCCACAACATGTGAAATAAAACCAATCCAGTTCTTTGTTTGTGGTCTGCATAAGTCTTACAACACAGAGAAAAATGCTCCATTTCAAATGTGCTCTCCTTGTGATGTCACAATGGGATTCTGGTAAAAAGAATACCCTCCCCTCCCCTGGTATCTCCATCCATGGACTCCACCTCCAGCCTAGTGCAAAACTTTTGCACAGGTCCGCCATTTTTATTCTCTCTACAGAGGCGCGATGTCTACCGGGAAAACTCAGGGGGGGCTCATTGCATTTAAAGAGACACACACACCAAAACGGAGCGTTCTGAGAGAGCTGGTTTATACAGGGTCACAAACCTCCTCTGGTGCTTGATTCATGTTATATTTTGACCAAAGCACAGCACAGATGTTTAGACCACAGGGGGACTGTTTGAAAAGGTGGAAAAATGGATAATAAGCCCACTTTAACAATTATTATCAGAAAAGACTAGACAAATGATCCGTTCATGAAGATCATTTTGGTTTGTCTCAGAAAGTGAATTCTCTTCATTCTTTTTCCCAACATGAACACTTTATTTAAATAAACACAACTGTACATTTAAAACAGTCAAGAGTGGCTCTAACAGTGAGAAAAGTCGAGAAAGTAGAAAAGGACCGTGAAAACATTTGAACATCTTCAGTGTTTATGAACGTGGTTCTGTTCGGTTCTCCCCTCAGGTGAACTTCTCAGTTTGTTATGAAAGTCGGTCGATTATCTTCAGAACCTGAGAACCACAACGTCATCTCAGACAGTCCGTGTAAAAAAACAAACAAATCCACATCAGGTGGAACAAAGTGATCTGATTGTTAGAGCTCAAAGTGTAAAAACAACAAATCCACGTTCAGTGATTCTGTGTGTCGATCTATTTCAAAGCTGTGAGCTGAAGTCTGAATGACCTCGCGATGATGACACTAGTGTTCAACAACGGAATGTGTTCATTAGTGAAATGTGCGGGGGTAAAGACAGATTTTGGTCCACTAGATATTCCCGTTTCCAGTCATAATGCTAGGCTAAGCTAACCGACAGCTGGCTGTAACTTCTGTTGACCGGACAGACACCTCAGAAAAGTTTTGTATCGATCAATTATTGTAGGAAAATTTATTTCGATTAAATTTGGATTTTTTTCAGGAATAAATGTTGTTCACACTCAAATGTTTCTGATTGTCATTTTTCTCAGGGAGGAGAGCTGACTGACACTGAGCTCTATCAGCTTGTTGGGAGCTCAGGTGTTCATGATGCCTTTGTGTTTGGAGCTCTTCAACCTGTAGGAGATGCCGACTCTGTGGAGAAGTGTCTGCTCTACGGTCAGAGAGATTCAGACTGTAGCCTGCAGGCTGCTCATCAAACTGCAGCTCGTCTTCGTCTCTGATTGTGAGCGAGATATAGCTCAAACTGTCGGTGTGTTCCTTTGAGTTGAAGAGGATGAAATAACACTTTTCATCCACATAGTTCTTCTCCCTACACCGGGCGTGACAGAGGCTTCTGGAGGGTCGGTGTCCCAGGACCACGTTGAGACTCAAAGTGCAGAAATGTTCAACCAGGTGAAGCTGTTGATGAGCTCCTGAAGTGTCAGCTGACTCCTTGTTATCTCAGTCAGATCCGTAGTCTGGGAAAACGGAGGGTTGAGTTCAGTCACTCTCAGAGAGCGTCGTCGAGCGGCGCCATGAGCAGCTGCAGCTCTTTGAAGGCGCTGCCGTGACGACCGACCTGCGCCGCTTTGTTCTTCACCACGTTGCTCAGGTTCTTCAGCTGCCTGCAGCACGCTCGGCACTTCTGGTGTCTGAAACACAACACATCATCAGTTCAGTGTATGGTCAACAGGGAGATCACCTGAGCTATTAAATGTGTGCTGTTAATGTCATTTCTCTAGACGAGTCAAATATAAACAACTTCAACTCGAGCCATCTGAGTCTCCTGAGTCTTTTATTGTGTGAAGTGAAGTATCTTCACCCTGGACAACAGGATGACACAGATCCTCTGACTGCTGGGACTCACCGCTCTTCTCGTGTGATGTCGACTCCCACAGACGGCGTCGCCTTCAGCGTGTCGGAGATCAGCATCCAGAAGTGTTTCATGACCAGCTTCAGAGACGTGCAGCCGGTCTGCATGTAGCTGATCACACAAATACACAAACGCACACATTCAGACACACTTCTCTTTTAAATGTTTAAGCTACAAATTTGTCAAACTAGGATCAATATTGTTGATGCTTTTGAAAAATACATTAATGCAGAGCTGGCTAAACACTGAAGCTTCAGTGTCCACCACATGGAAACCTGCGTGAGCATCGAGTCTAGAGAGGAGGGGGGCGGGGGAAGACAGCTCTCTATAATGTTTTGAATTTGGACTGCAGTATTTTAAAAGTGTCAGAGTTACATATTGCTCCTTTAACATTTTTATGGCTAAAACTAAAAGTTGTCAGTTGTTTACCAAGTAGTTGACCTTTCTGACACTTCCCAGATTAAATTTAAATCAAGTCACTTAATTGTTGAGTCTAAAGAAGAGTAGAACGAGTGAAGTGTGATCAGGAACACTCACCTCTCATATTTACTCTGCAGCAGTTTGTCAATCTGAGGAAGAATGGTTGTACACAGGTCCAGCTTCCACAGAGACCTGAAATATGAATTGTTTGAAACATCATGTCAAACATGAGGTCAAAGAGTTAATTAATAAGCATTCACCGGCAATTTAGAGTCACCAGTTAACCTAACGAGCATGTCTTTGGACTGTGGGAGGAAGCCAGAGAGAACCCACACATGCACAGGGAGAACATGCAAACTCCACACAGAGGCTCCGGTCAGACGGGACCAGGAACCTCCTCGCTCAGAGGCAGCAGCGCTAACCAGAGCACCACTGTGCAGCCCATATCAAGCGTTTCATTATATCATGAAATAAATCAAGTGTCATTTCTGGTATATCAACAACATTTCCGTTTATAGAAGTGTCATAAAGACGGCTCTAGAATGTGATGTCA